AATTAAATTAGGAAATAATCTACCCACGTTACAAGAAACAAGGTTAGGATGGATTATTACTGGGAATCTATTTTTAAATGAAAATAAGAATATCAATCGACAAATATGCAACTTCAGTAAAATTACAAATAAACAACTGAATGAAAACTTAACAAAATTTTGGCAAATAGAGGAAGTAAATACCACAATTCCACTATCAAAAAATGATCAGTTTTGTGAAGAATATTTCAAATCGACAACAACACGGAATGAAAACGGCAATTTTGTAGTAAAATATCCTTTTAAACCAGATTATATGGAACAACTAGGAGATTCCAAATCATCAGCAATCAAAGGATTTAAAAGTTTAGAAAACCGATTTTTGAAAAATAAAAATTTAAAAACTCAATATATTGAATTCATGAAAGACTATGAATCGTTGGGACATATGACATTTATTAATACTTTAGAAAACGACAAATCGATTAACAGTAAATCTTTTTTCTTGCCTCATACAGCGGTACTCAGGGAATCTTCAGTGACCACAAAGTGTAGGGTGGTTTTTGACGCAAGTGCTAGAACAACCACAAACATATCTCTCAATGATTTATTATTAATAGGCCCTACCATACAACCTGATTTATTCTCAATATTACTGCGCTTAAGACTGCGGACTTATGTTTTAACAGCTGACGTTGAAATGATGTATCGTTGCATTGAGATAGATCCAAGTGAACGGTCATTCCAAAAAATTATTTGGAGGGAAAATCCAGAAGACGAACTCAAAGTTTACGAGTTAAATACCGTAACATATGGTACCTCAAGTGCACCATTCCAAGCTACTAGATGTTTGAAAGAGTTAGCAACTTTAAATAAAAACAGTTACCTGCGAACTTCGGAAATTATAGAAACATGTTTTTACATGGACGATCTTCTTGTAAGTGTCAATTCTGAGAACGAAGCGAAACAAATTTATCATAAATTAACGAAAATATTGTCGAGTGCAAAATTTGACTTACGGAAGTGGTCCTCAAATAATGTAGATATCTTAAATTATATTTTATCAAACAGCAATTATAAAGACGATAACTTGGTAATTTTTCAAAAGGAAAAAGAACTCAAAACATTAGGTATAAGGTGGGATGCAAATAGTGATAACTTAAAATATTGCATTGACACTGACATTAACGAAACTAAAATAACAAAGCGCACTATCCTCTCTGTTATTTCGCAAATTTTTGATCCTCTTGGATTAATCGGACCGACAATAATAAAAGCAAAGCTAATTTTGCAAAAACTTTGGCAACTAAGTTTAGACTGGGATACTGAGGTTCCTCCAGACATAAAAAATAGTTGGTTGCAATTTGCTTCACAAATAAAATGCTTAAAAAATATAGTGATCGAGCGGCAAGTTTTATTACATGATGTTCAAGAAATTGAACTTATAGGTTTCAGTGACAGCTCTGAAAGAGCATACGGAGCATGCGTCTATATTAAGTCGATTTCAAAAAATAAAGTGATGGTTAAACTTTTAACTGCTAAATCACGCGTAGCCCCGTTAAAAAGTCTATCGCTGCCACGTTTGGAATTGTTAGCAGCAGTTTTATTAGCAGAATTAATGCATAAAATTAAAAATACTCTCGATGTTATCATTTCTAAAAGTATCTATTTTACAGATTCTACCATTGTACTTGATTGGATAAGAATAGAGCCTTGTTGTCTTAAGACTTTCGTGGCTAATCGAGTCGCAAGAATTACCGAACTTTCAAATGTAAATCAATGGAACCATGTCAGAACCAATAATAATCCAGCAGATATCATTTCACGCGGCTTAAATCCAAATGACTTAGTTAACAACAAACTTTGGTTTAATGGTCCAGAATTTATTACTCATCAAACTAATCCCGACTTGACATATAACCCGGAATCTGACTTTGAAAATTTACCTGAGGTAAAAGCAAATTCTTTTACAGTACTTAATCGCAATGAAGAAACTAAATCAGAAAATCAATTTAACATTTTTGACAAATATTCTACATTTTCAAAGCTAGTAAGAATGGTTTCCTATATTTTAAGATTTAAAACTCGTTTAAATAAAAAACCTTTGGACAAATTGTTAAGTTGCGAAGAACTTAGCTATGCTAAGCAGAGGTTAATAATGTTAGCTCAATCTCAATCCTTCAAACAAGAAATTAATGAAATAAAAAGCTTCAAGTCAGTTAAATATAGGCAGAGTAAAATTTTAAATTTAAACCCGTTTTTAGATGAACAGAATATTTTAAGAGTTGGAGGCAGATTATCCAAATCGGAGTTAACATTCAATCAACAACATCCTATCATTTTACCAAATAAACATAGATTAACTTATTTGATAATTTTGGATTATTATAATAAATATTTACATGCCGGAACTCAAAATTTATTATCGATTATTAGGTTGACATACTGGCCAGTAAATGGAAAAAATGCAGTTAAGCATGTCATAAAATCGTGTGTTAGGTGTTGCAGAGTAAATCCCAAACCGTGTAAGTTTTTGATGGGAGATTTACCAACTACTAGAGTGACTCCAAATCGGCCTTTTACTAATTGCGGCATCGACTATGCCGGGCCAATCTTTATCAAAGATGGTATTTTACGTCGCAGTAAAATAATTAAAACATATATATGTATTTTTGTTCGTTTTTCTACCCGTGCTACTCATATCGAACTAGCCTCTGACTTGACTTCTTCGAGCTTTTTAAACGTGTTAAAAAGATTTTGTTCACGAAGCCTTTAAACATTTACTCGGATAATGGGTTAAATTTTGTTGGAGCTAACAACCATTTTATCGAGTTATATCGTGTCCTTAACGATCCTAAACATAAACAAACGGTTTCCAGATTTTTGACAGAAGACCAAATAAATTGGCATTTCATTCCTGCGCGATCACCTCACATGGGAGGTCTTTGGGAGGCGGCCGTGAAATCCACGAATTTCCATTTAAAGCGTGTTTTGGGCGAATCGTCTTTAAGTTTCGAAGAAATGTATACTTTAATTGTACAGATCGAAGCATGCTTGAACTCTCGGCCGTTGACGCCATTGTCAAATGATCCCCGGCACTTTCTTTGCCTAACCCCAGCGCATTTTTTGATCGGGAACTCGCTGACGAGTCCTCCAGAAGAAGATGTCAGGGACGTCAAAACTACAAGGTTGGATCGCTATCATCGACTTCAGCAGTTGAGGCAGCAGTTTTGGCAACGTTGGTCAAGAGACTACCTTACTCAAATGCAGACTCGTTCCAAGTGGCAGCATACAATTGAGACTGGCTTAAAAGTGGACTCTTTGGTTGTGCTGATCGAAGACAACACACCACCGTTAAAGTGGCCGATGGCTCGAGTGATTGAACTATTTCATGGCTCAAACAATGTGGTGCGTCTAGTGTCAGTAAAACTGCCAAATGGCAATATCGTTAAACGCGCCATAAACAAAGTGTGCTTGTTGCCTGTGGAAGTCTAGTGCTCCAACATGTTCGCATTAGGACTTCTTGTTGTTGAAAAGTGGATTTTCAAGGCGGGCGGCATGTTCCATTCCGAGCGCACCCACAAAAACATTTTATCATGGTTCCTGGATTTTTGTAACCATGGATGAGACTTTTTTTTGTTATAATTAATTATGGCGTTTCCAATTGTCATTATTATTCTTGAACTTTGTCAAATCGTTAACACACGTTCACAGTCCATTTTTATCGAGATCTTTATCAGAATAAAATCGTTTTTTGTCAAACCTAGTTGTTTGACTGGTCCTTCGAAAATCGAAATCATCGAAAACCCCAACAGACCCTATTGACTACTCATTTCCGCAGAGATCACTTTGTTAGTAATTTTTTCTACCCCAACCACCCATTTTAACTAGCCTAATATATTAACGCTGTATCTTAATTAGAACTATTTAAAACTATACACAAAAATCCTGCCGTATGTTCCTATTACCAAAGTCTTATTACCAATTAGTGCCAAATATGAATGCAGTATCTAGGCTCTACCAGTAATAAAGGCGGTAAAAATACTGGCTACTTGCGAACTTACCGCGTTTATCTTTGGTACGTGAATTTTATCAAATTAAAAAATTTTCTATAGAGTTCTGGAGATATTTAATACAAGAATCTACAATAAAAATTATTTTTGTGCAACCATCCGCAAAATGAGCTTTCGCGGCCGCCACACAGTCCGCGAAATTCAATTTCGCGGCCGTTGCCCTTGGTGACGGCCGCGAAACTATAAATCAAAATTTGACACTTTGACAACAACAATAAGTAAATTTTATTTCCAAATTCTTCAGGACAACATAAATTATTTAGGATAAATATTAACACTTACATGACAGTTTGCATTATTACTAATATTTACTCCTGAAGCTGAAGCAACTAATAATCCAGTGTTTTTGAATTGAACTCTCAAAACTTCCCATTTCGGCATTAAATTAGCCAATATGCTTTCAGACACCATTTTGACGTTTTGTTTGTCACACCAATTTTTTGAACTCGCAGTAACAATTTTCATATTGCCGCTTAGTTTTCCAGGTATTAACTCAGAAATAGCTGATTGAACCATATTTTTTAGCTCTGGAGGAGTGCAAGAGAGTGAAACATCTGTATCGCTGTCGGATATTTTCACGATTTTTTGAGAACCGTCAAAATTTTTTGTGTATTTGTTTACTTGCAAAATATGTCATCCATGACATCCATGGAAACGCTGTGCCACCATAGCCACCAGGTTATACATCAAACTGGTAATTAGTTCCACATGTTTGTTGAAAGGAGTAAATTTTTTCTATAATTCCACATAATTTTCATGGTTGCACGAAAAATAGTGTGTATACCATGACCGCGAAACTTTTTAGCGTCCTCGAGATTATCTTGCCTCGGCCGCAAGCGGCCTCGGCGATAACTTTTCTCTACGTACGCTAAAAGGCACTTCGCGGCCTTGGTATACAAATAACTATTAAATGTCATAAATGCGAAAGTGCAAGCCAAAAACCTCGCCAAAAACTTTAAAAGTGAATATTTCAGTTCACCACCTCATGAACATACCGCGTTTATTCTTAGGAGGGCAGCATTGACGTCAGCGCTGACAAAGAAGGCAGATTTCCTTTTCTCTGGGTCCCTCCCATTTAAAGTGAGACAAACGATAACGCGTGTGGCTTCTTCTTGTTTGATTTTTACGCTAGTTAGTGATAATTATTGTGTAAATTTGTAAAGGGCTCTAATTTATTTACACAAACAAACCTGGTAAATTCAATGTGGACAACGGAAGTAAAGCATATATTTAAAATTACTAAAATATAATTATATTTTCCAAAGAAAACAGAACATAAACTTTGCAACAAAATATTTATAACAAATAGGAATAATTTTTAATCCTAAATATAATTTTGTAGAAACATAATCCTACTAGGCAAAATCTCATCCCTACAAATAGGACATGCTTTCTGATAATTCAAATAATCGCATAAACAGTTCCAACAGAAAACATGACCACAAGGAGTCGCTGTAGGGCTTTTAATATTGTCAACACACAAAACACAAGTTTTAGCTGATTGACTTATATTCTCAGATATATTTTGAATATCTTTACTATTAAACTGTGAATCTATGGATATTATTTGATAAATTAAAGTAAACAGTATATAGAATAAAGATAGCTGGCCCAATATCTTGAAACTTCCTGAAAATGAGTCATCGTGCATCCAATCTCTTAACAAAACCTGCAATAGGTAATGATTGAATTTAGGTAACTTTAAAATAAAGTATTTAAAGAATACATACATATTTGATTCCTGTAATTCTATTTGCAATATTGTAATATTTCCCACCAATATAAAAGAGAGAATGATGAATCCTTTTGATGGTAAATTTGTGCTCCATAAAAATTTGGATGAATTTCACCAGTTCATCTTTAGCTCGCTGTGTTAAAGAGGGTGATTTTTTTACTGAAGTTTCTGTGTAGGTCAAAACTTTGTCTATTAGCGGTTCACCTCCAATGTAGAGTATCATCCAGATTAGTTGTTGCTATAAAGAGAATTCTTAGTTGAGAGAAGGTCGAGAAGGAGGCAGTTCGGACTATGGAGACAGTTATTTTAACATAATAATTATTACAAGAGTCAGAGAACAGACAGACGGAGCTCCAAAATTTCCTGTACGCCATGGTATTGCAAATATATCAATCAGGGACTGTTGACTGAAATTATTGAGTATCTCAGAACTCAGGAGTTTGTTTTTAATGAGGATCTGAATGACATACCTACTATAAAAAAAAAACTTTATTTTTTTCCAAGATAGATTTTGACATTGTCAAGTTTGAAACATAAACAATACCGAATGGCACTGATTGGTCGCAAAATGCCGTGTCTTTGCAGGTAAAGGTATTTTTTTACAGAGTTGGAATCAGGTTTAAAATGATAAATGTATGCACCTATGACAATATTGTCAAATTATTAATTGTGACTTTTTGATGCTGGATAATACTGCTTTTGTATTTTCGAATTTTCTAAAAGTGAAATGTCTAGCACAGACACAGCAGACGAAATCCAAAACTATGTTGGTTTGAGTCCACCCAAAAAACGTTCAAAGAAAAATCATTTAAGTATTGAGGTAAAACAACTTATTCTAAATGTTTATAAGTGCGAATTAGAAGAGCATCCTGAGTTTCCAAAAAAAGATATTATGCAAAAGGTTGCAAAAAAAATAGGAGTATGTCGTGCATCTGTGTATAATGTGATTAAAGAATACAGAGAATCGCATTCGTTTTCGAAACCGAAAACAAACCAGAGCTACACAAGCCCTATTGAAACGCTGGGCGAATTTGAGAAAGGCGCAATACGGAGGAAAGTGCACCAGTTTTTTTTCAGGAACGAAATACCAACTCTAGATAAGGTTCATACGGTGGTTAATAATGATTACCTAATGTTTCGAGGTCAACATTGTATAAGCTGTTAAAAAATTTAAAATTTACATTCAAAAAGCGTGGGCGCAATAGTATCTTGATGGACAAGCCTGAAATTGTACGATGGAGGCGAGATTATCTAATAGCTATAAAATCATACAGAAATGAAAAACGGAAAATATATTATTTAGACGAAACATGGTTGAATGCTGGTCATACTACAGCAAAAGCTTGGGTGGATGAAACAGTGACATCGTCAAGGAGAGCATTTCTCGATGGACTTTCGACAGGTCTCAAAAATCCCGCAGGTGAGTAAAATAATAATTAATAAAGTTTGGAGGTTTATATATTTTTATCAGGAAATAAATAAATAAAATAAATAAATGTTTATTGACGGACTTGCCATTTTCAAATGAGTACATAGTTCAAATTGATAAAAATAAAATTCTTAAGATTAAGACAAAATATAAATTGATAAAACACAATCACAGTGTTGACAGTAAAATTTAAAAGAAAACACAGAAATAAAAAACATCACTTTCATTATGGTAGCATACATAAAAAAAACACATCAATCAACAACAATAGAAAGCACAGTTTAAAAAAGTTTTCCCTACCTAACCAATATACTAAAACTATCAACAATACAAAAAAGAAATGAATGAAAATGAGATTCAAATCTAGTTGAGGCAAATTCAACCATCGACAGCCCTACTCTAGTTCAAGCAGACTTTTTCTAAGCGTATTGCAACTTATGTTGAAAAAATCAATATCAAGCTCATTTATTACCCTATTGGCCACATTACACATTCTACACACAGGACTATTCAAACCATAGTTTGTCCTGTGAAAATCTATACCAAAAATCTCATTTTGTCTAGTTACTCTCTGAGGAATTCGAAATGGAACTTTTTCCAATAGCTCAGGACAATTGATTATGTTAGTACAGACTTTATGAAGAGTACATATATCAAACTGTGTCCTTCTAGACCTCAGTGTTTGTAAATTGAGAAGTTTGTAGAGTTCGCCATAGTTTATATCATCAACTGGAATGCCCAACTTAAAGTTAATGAGTCTTAAGAATTTTCTTTGAACTTTTTCTAAGTCATTTACATAAATGTTATAAAAAGGAGACCAAACTGGACATGCATATTCCAGTCCTGATCTAACATAGCTGCAATACAGTACCTTAAAGCAATTTACATCATCAAAGTTTGATAGTGTCCTGGCAACAAAACCCAACATTTTTAGTGCCTTATTCTTAATAAAGTTGATATGGTAATCAAATCGCAATTCATCATCAATATAAATTCCAAGATCTTTGATTTTATCGACTCTCTTCAAAAGTTGATTATTGATATTGTAGGGAATGAGTATGTTATTTCTTTTTCGGGATATTGTCAGAACACTACATTTCTCTACATTCAACTCCATACAGTTAGCATTACACCAGGAATAAAGCTTATCAATATTATTTTGCAATTTGCGACACTCATTTTCATTTTCCACCCTCATAAACATTTTCAAATCATCAGCAAACAATAAATTACATCCAAAATCCAGAACAGCAACAAGATCATTAATAAAGACATTAAACAGTAGAGGAGCCAGATGAGATCCCTGGGGGACGCCCGATGGCACATCAATTTCATAAGATACAAAATTTTTCATTTTTACAAATTGTTTCCGATTAACTAGATAACTCTTAAACCATGACAGCATCACTCCATGAATCCCAAATAGCTCCAGCTTATGCAAAAGTATTCCATGGTGCACCCTGTCAAAGGCTTTGGAAAAATCAGTGTAAATTGAATCAACCTGACATCTCTCCTCCAATGCCTCCGACAGAGCCTCACCATAGACTAGCAAATTAGTCAAAGTTGAGCGGCCCTTTACAAATCCATGCTGGAAAGGAAAAAGACTGATAATCTGCCACATGGGTAGTGTAGATGGTTTTGTTAATGAGGCTTTTTGGAGTTTTGAATAAAAAAAAACAGGAGATTACCATGAAGAAATTAATGGGAAATCATTTGAGCAATGGTTTTCCAAAACTTTGCCCTTGCTTGACGACAATAGTGTCATAGTTCTAGATAATACGCCGTACCATTCACAGAAGCTCGAAAAAATCCCAAACAGTACTTCAAGAAAAGATGACATTCAGAACTGGCTCCGTTCGAAGAAATTAGATTTTGATGAAAAAATGCTAAAGTACCAGCTTTTAGGTATTGTAAAAAAACATAAATCGCAATACAATAAGTACGTCGTTGATGAAATGGCTAGGGATCAAAATAAAACGGTACTACGTCTGCCGTCTTACCACTGCGAGCTCAACCCAATCGAGCTAATTTGGGCCGATGCAAAGAATTTTGTTGCTAAACATAATACAACTTTTAAGTTTTTAGATATGAAAGATCTTTTTAACCGCGCCCTAATAAATATCACACCCTTGAAGTGGCAAAAATGTATCGAACATGTGAAGCAAAAGGTGGAGAGTAGAATGTGGACACTCGATAATATCATGGAAGTGCAAGTCGAAAAACTTATTATTACTCTAAGCGGAAATGATGATGATACCGAGGATGATACTAGTGATAGCTTTTCAAATTAATTTTAAATCTGTATTTGAATCTAATTTCTGTTTTAGAGCCGGTTCGACAATCCAAGTATATCCTCAGTATAGGCTATACCTACCTAGGCTAGTATAAAAGTTCATTTTAGAACTAAAAAATGAACTTTTATGCTAGGTTTGGTATAGCCTATACTCGCAGTGGTAAGAAGTGGCAGACGAAGTACAGTTTTATTTTGAGGCCTGGCTATTTCATCAACGACGTACTTATTGTATTGCGATTTATGTTTTTTTTACAATATAAAAAATCTAATTTCTTCGAACGGAGCCAGTTCTGAATGTCATCTTTTCTTGAAGTACTATTTGGGATTTTTTCGAGCTTCTGTGAGTGGTAGGGCGCATTATCTAACACTGTGACACTATTGTCGTCAAGCAAGGGCAAAGTTTTGGAAAACCATTGCTCAAATGATTTCCCATTCATTTCTTCATGGTAATCTCCTGTTTTTTTTTATTCAAAACTATAGCCTATACTAAGGATATACTTGAATTGTCGAACCGGCCGTTACATTATGTATAGTTACTCTCCCAAGCATAATGAGTTTATCGTTAAATAGTCGGGGATAAATATAATTTTTATTGATTTTTTTTCAAGGAATATCCAGGAATAAAAAAACTAATATTAGTTGCGTCTTGATAGTTAAGTTAAGTTTATAGATATAAGTAAGAGTTGTTTAGTTAAAAGGTCGATTCGTTGTTGTTTGTATTTTGTTACCGGTGGTAAAACGCTTTAGTGCAACACGTAGTTTCTTATAAGCTGCATTCCTAATGTGTAGTTAGACATTTTGCATCGATTCCAATATAAAAATATGCGGATTATATTAGTTTAAAAAAAAAATCTATAAATTAAAGTTGTTCTATTTTGAGGTGCGAAGTGTCGGGTTTTGATAGGGCAATCCTATATCAATATGGCGGCCTAGGTCAACAGTGAAATTAGCGCCATAAGGATTTCATTTACCTTCAAAAAACTGTGACGCAAAGCAAAGCAAAGCGTGCGAAGTGCGTTTTTGTTTTTCTAAATTCAATATTAACCTACAAAGACTGGTACGCATTACGTGGACGGGTTAGTTTGGGTTAGTTTGCATAGTTTTGGTTAGTTTGGGTTAGATTGCATACTTTTTTTTAGACATTAGACATTAGACATTATATTACGTAAGGTTATATACATGTTCAAATTTTGTATCTTAATGGTAACAGGTTTATGATATGATTAATAACAAGTATATCCAGCACCTAGATGACTTAACATCCATATGTGCCATTTGAATTTAACTTATTTGTAAGTAAATAATAATATGATAATTATTGTGTATTGTTTGTCAACAGCAAACAACATCACAATATTAATCCTAAAAAAAAGTTCATTTTATTTTCATAATCTAAGAACTAGCCTAATCTACTCCTAAATTAAAAACTAATCTAACGTAGCCTTCCCATCAAGGAAAGGAGAATAAACTCCCAAGAGATTCAATCAAAACAGAATTATAAATTGTTGGAGATTCCTGAAAATGTATCTCTTACATTCAGCACAGAATTTCTTATGGTTCTTAATAAGTTTTATGCTACCAGGAAGCAAGTTATAACATCTTGGAGCCAAATAGTTAATGAAGCGTAAATTGATATTTCTATTACTATTTGGAATAGCTAAGTGTCTGTTGACTTTAGTCCTAGTAGCATAAGCATGGTCTACATAGTTTCTTAAACAATTTTTTTTATGTACAAATGAGCATATATTAAGAATATAGAGGGAACGAACACAGATAATGTCCTCAGAAAAGAGTAAATGAGTTGGGTATCGCCTTTCTTTTTTGAAGATAATTTTTAAAATATATTTTTGAATAATTTCCAACTGATGTAAGGAATTTCTATAAAGGCCACCCCACACAACCACACCATATCTGAGTAGTGATTCTACAAGTGCCCTATATACACATATCAACAGCTTTGTACATAGTATTTCCCTTAAGCCATAAAATTTTCTGATAAGTGCTCTAATGTTATTAGTTACTTTGGAGACATGTTCTTTCCATTTAAGATTTTTATCTATTATGATTCCTAAATATTTTGTAGATGAAACCTCGTTTATTTCTTTGTCAAAGCCTTCAACTAGAATGTTGGTAAAAGGTGGGCGATTAGCAGCTGTTAAGGAAAACGCAATGTAATTAGTTTTATCTATATTTAGGGTGAGTTTGAATGAATCAAGCCAATTTTTGACTTTAGAGATACCCAACATTGCTAGATTTTTACTTCGTCCCAGGATTGTGCTCTGAAGACAATAACAGTGTTATCCGCATAGGATATTACAAGACCGTTCTCTATTGTTAAGTTCGTTAAGGAATTTATATAGGTTATGAAGAGTAATGGACCAAGGACAGTGCCTTGAGGTATACCAATCTTCACAGATAGAGGTTCACTGTAAGTGTCCTGAATCTTAACGACCTGGCTTCTGTCACGAAGATAACTCTCAAAGACTTCTAGCACAGCTCCCCTAACTCCATAAATGTTCAGCACATTAATTAAGGAGTCATGGGGAACTGTGTCAAAAGCCTTCGCAAGGTCCAGGAAAACAGCTAGACATTTGTTACCATTATCTAGATTATTTGTTACATTTTTGGTCAATTCGTAGATTGCATCTGAAGTGCTTAGACCTTTACAGAAACCAAATTGATGCTTTGACAAAATATTATTAGACAAGAGATAGCTTGATAATCTGTCTCTTAGGCATTTTTCAAACACCTTTGCAAAATTGCTTATTACACTTATAGGACGAAAATTAGTTATTTTAGATTTGTCTTTATCTTTAAATATTGGAGTTACAATAGATTTCTTGAATCCTGAAGGCACCACCCCTGTGCTAAATATAAGATTAATAATATGTACAAGTGGATCAATTAAATGCAAATGAAAATGTTTAATAATTCTTGATTCTACACCATCATCACCAGGAGCACAATTATTTTTTAGAGAATTTATGTGACTAATAATTTCATTTTTATTAACTGGTTTTAGGAACATGGAACTTAAAGAGTTATGATCAATCTGAAACATGTCATCAGGAGTCACTATTCTATTATGCATTTTAATACCGATAAAATTCGTTACAGTAGGTTGCCATGTCTTTTTTATTAGAGAAAGAATTACCTTTGTCGTCAAGAATCTCAAAATTATTTGCAGAACCACATTTTTTTTCATCAACAGCCTCGGAGACAATCTGGTAGATTTTTTTCAGGTTATCTTTATTGTTTTCAATCTTTTTTTTATAGAATTCATATTTTTGTTTTTGTATTATTTTATTTAATTTATTTCTATAGGCCTTATATGCTTCACTATCCGCTGCATTTTTATTTAATAAAATATCTTTTTTCATTTTATCCCTTCGTTTTATTGCAGATATAATTCCATTTGTTATCCACGGCTTTAATTTATTATAGTCCCTAAAATAAACAGTTCTCTTTCCTTTAGATAGCTCGATGTAGTGACGCACAGTGGTAATAAAATTATCGGTGGCAGATTCAGCATCATTGTTGTTGATTATATGGACCCAATTTTCCTGACCAAAATGATCGCCAAGCGTTTCAAGATTTATATTTTCAACTATTTTTGATACTAGTTTAGTCCGACTGCCAACGGCTTGTTCCCCATAAAAATTTATCATTACCGGAAAATGATCAGTCAGATCACCATTCAATATGGAAGAATCAAATTTTAGAAGCCCTGACTTTAGCTTGTTTCTTATAAAAATATGATCTAGGCATGTAGCACTATTTAGAGTCACTCGTGTGGGACCCTTTATTGTAGCTTGAAAGCCATAAAAACCTAGCAGAGATAGATACTGATTAGTAAGCAAATCATTTTTGTTCAATGTGTTTATGTTAATATCACCTACAAATAGTTCAATATTTTCATTTAGATTGTCTGAAAAAAATCTATCTATGTCCTCAAGGAAATAGTGCGTGTTAGTTGAGGGTGGTCTGTATCCACATGTAATTCCATAGGTAATATTGTTAATGGCGAAATTAATTTTACTTAGTGTAACACCAGATTTGTTTAGTTTAATATTTACGAATTTTGTATTAATCTTTTCACTTACATAGATTAGCATTGGTTAGTTTGTTTAGATTACATACTTTTGGTTAGTTTGGGTTACAGTTCGTTTAATAGCTACTGGTTATAAGTGTACTGGTTATAGTTGGGGAGCTGGCGTCAAAAACATGCAAGAGTTTTCGCAAGGCTGATATTTTCAAAATAGGTCATACTTTAGTGCTAGAATGCTAGTGTACAGTCAGCACTCACAGTTCCGGGACAGCTGGCTCTGGGACGCGGGCAAAGTTGTAATTTTAAGAAGCATCTAAACTGTTTTCTCAAAGCTCAAAATTTATAGAAATTTTGCACATTATCTGTTTGAAGGTCACAGATAACGTATGTAAATCGTCAGACGTCTAGTTTGTTGCAAAAAGGGGGTCAGACGTCCTCAAAGTTTTTATTTTATGGCATTTTCTTCGGTGTCCTGTCAAAATATATTTTTGCAGGTATTTGACAAATATATTTGAAGAAAATGCCATAAAATAAAAATTTTGAGGAAGTCTGACCCCCTTTTTGCAACGAACTAGACGTCTGACGATTTACATACGTTATCTGTGACCTTCAAACAGATAATGTGCAAAATTTCTATAAATCTTGAGCTTTGAGAAAACAGTTCAGATGCTTCTTAAAATTACAACTTTGCCCGCGTCCCAGAGCCAGCTGTCCCGGAACTGTGAGTGCTGACTGTACACTAGCATTCTAGCACTAAAGTACGACCTATTTTGAAAATATCCGCCTTGCGAAAACTCTTGCATGTTTTTGGCGCCACCTCCTGGACTATTAGAAGCAAAGCGCGTTTGTGTTTTTCTAAATTCAATATTAACATACAAGGACTAGTACGCATTACTTGGACGGGTTAGTTTGCATACTTGTCGTTAGTTTGGGTTAGATTGCATACTTTTGGTTAGTTTGGGTTAGATTGCATACTTTTGGTTAGTTTGGGTTACAGTTCGTTCAATATCTACTGGTTATAAGTGTACTAGTTAAAAGAAAAGCGCGCGAAGCGCGTTTTTGTTTTTCTAAATTCAATATTAACCTACAAGGACTAGTACGCATTACGTGGACGGAATAGTTTGGGTTAGTCTGCATATTTTTGGTTAGTTTAGCCGCGGTGTAATGGTAAAATAGGAATAGGGTTTCTTTTATAAAATTGTGAATATTCGATTTACTACGGCAAAAAACGCACTTAAATTGATATAAAACCAACTGTATAAAGGATATATCAACTAATTTTTATAGAAAATTTGTTAATTTTTGTTGCACTAAAGCGTTTTACACCCTTGTTACCTAATAAATTAGTGTTTTATTATCGTGACTTCAAGTGGACAAACCGAAAGAATTTGTCACTAAAAACGGTGACATTATTTTCACGGCATCCAGCGTGAAACTGATTCCAACCCTGTAAAACGATACCTTCGTCGGGTGCAGGTATGCGGCATCTTGCAACCAATAAGCGGCATTGTTTATGTTTCAAAGTTGACAATGTCAAAATCTATCTTGGAAAAAAATAAAGTATATTAGTATGTAGGTATACATTTTCCGTTTCTAGTGTGCTTAAGTATATTTGGGGAACATACGTTTCAAGTTCTATATTATGATTTACACAAAAAATTGAATTTATTACATACCAGTCCTGTAGGTATCCTATTAGATCGTGTCAGTCGAATAGTCCCGCTATATTCTTCACCTAAAGTTTGCAAATTGCCTAGAGAAGTCATATAATAATACCAAATATTTGCCACGGAAGGAACAAATGTTCGTATTTTGTGGTAAGCTCGTACATTGATGTGTTTCAGAAAAGAATGCAGCTGTGTTTCCAAGTCGTTGACAAACGCTTGATCTCTTTGGTTACCACGTAAAATATCTGCGACTGCTGCTTGAGGAAAATTCATTTTAATTTCCTGTTTTGAAATTTTTTAAATACTCTGGATGGGTAAACTCACTGGATAAACTTTGCCCTGGGATTGTTTTGTTTATGTTTGCATTCCAAAAAAAATGAAGTGAGGTTACAGGTTTGGAGGCGCGTTCGAAAATGGGCTTCTTGTTAGTTCTTGTCAATGAACTGTTCATTGGTTCTTGTAGTTCACGTTCCAAACTATCAGGCTGCTCCAACCAGTGCCGGCCCGAGGTTACTTTTAGGATGGACTTTGGCGCCCCTAATTAGGTAAATGCTAATCGTATGCTCTATCCACCGATCAAATGTTCTAAGCGAAGTACCAAGAAAAAGTACTTAAGTATCAAGTACAAGTTTCTTTTTTAATACGAATCAAGTACCAGTACAAGTATAAGTAGGTACAAAAGGAAATACTTAAAATGTCGAGTAAATTGACTTGAATTGCCTAAATTCAAGTACGAGTACCAACTTCCACGAAAGTCAGAGTCAAGTTAGTATTCTATTCACTTAAACTTGCGTACTTGAAATGACATTCACGTAGAAATACTTCAAAAAATAATTTAAGTAGGTATTTTTTCTATCAAGTATTGTTCGAATTAAAAATAAATTAAATTATTGCTATCGATAATCTAAAACGGGGTGTGACCCAAAAATAAGTTTTAGAAAAAAAAATCTAAGAACAAATTCTCAAACCGCACTAGGTTACGACCAACCGTTGCGAAGATACTGTGATATAAAATTCCTACTTCTAGCACTGTGACGTCATATATGCACAAACTGTGTCCGACAGCCGGCGCTGACGCGCGTTCGCTGATTCTTGCTACATCTCAGTTCCAACCGACAAGAGAACCGTTCCAGAATCAGTAATTTCCAGTTGTCCACCTATTTTTCAATAAGTTGAACATTTATTCTACTTGATAAATGAATTGATCAACTGGAAATTACCGTTCTAGAACGTGTCTCTTGTCGGTTGGAAAAGAGCTATTATCGACATTATCATATCGTTTTTGCGTTCTCACACCTATTGGCTGCGTCAGTTTAACTAGGTTTTGCAATTTTTGCGTGTATTTATGACGTCACGCGATGAACAGACAAAATTTTATTTAGTCGTATGTAAGTAGGTACCTTATTATTTTGAGTAGCGATGCGAGATTTTCACAAGAGATCTCAAAATTTTCTTCTTTATTTTCTGAATCCATGTTGTATTTTAAGGTTACACCCCCTTTAATAGGAGATATTCAGTATAGGCACCACAGGCACAGGAATTGGTATTGAGTGATGTCAGCTGGGCTCTTCCTACCTACTGGCTGGGTTTTGGCTGCTGTCTTATCACAGTCTTACCACCCTTTTGCTCGCAAGCAGAATAGCAGAATATCGAAAAACGAAGACAGGATTCAGAGCAATGTGTCTATCTGATTGTAAAAATCATAGCTCCGTTATTCTGGACTATTTCTCCATAAAATTTCAATATGTTGAAGCTAAAAGCTTCCTTAATAAATAAAAAAAACTTGGTTAATCTAGTTTTCTAGAATTTTTAGAAAAAAAAAAAAAAAAAGGAATGAGGCTAATACTATGGCAAAGTTTCAAAGATATCACTAAATGTGTCTGTCTGATTGTAAAAATCATAGCTCCGTTATTCTGCGCTATTTCTATATAAAATTTTAGTATGTTGAAGCTAAAAGCTTCCTTAATAAACAAAAAAATATTTGGTTAATCGAAGTTTTCAGAATTTTTAGAAAAAAAATCAGGAATTAGGCCATCAGGCCATGGCAAAGATATCACCAAGTGTGTCTATTTAATTGTAAAAATCATAGCTCCGTTATCCTGGACTATTTTTCAATGAAATTTCAATACCTATGTATGTTGAAACTAAAAGCTTCCTCAGTATGTTAAAAAATATTTGGCTCCTCCAGGTTTCTCAGATTTCCAGGAAAAAAATCAGAAACCAGGCCATAGGCTGTAATGCAAAAATATCACTCAATGGGGCTTTCGGATTAAAAAAAATCGTAACTCAACTATCTTTGGTTTTTATCCAATCAAATTTTGGTATGTCAAAGCTAAAAGTCTCCTGGATATATAAAAACATTGTAAATGTACCAAAGTTTCCCAGATTTCCAGAAAAAAAATCAGAAATCAGGGCATAGGCTGTAATGCAAAAATATCACTCAGTGGGGCTTTTGAATTTAAAAAAAATGCAACTCAGCCATCTTTAGTTTTTTTCGACTCAAATTTTGGTATGTTTAAGCTAAAAGGCTCCTGGATTTTTTTTCTACAATTCTCAAAGTATCCCAGATTTTCAGGGAAAAAATTAAAAATTAGGCCATAGGCCGTAATGCAAAAATATCGTTCAATGGGGCTTTCGGATTAAACAGATTTCAGAAACATATTTTTCTCTTTTTTTTTCACCAAGGAACAAGTCGGAGGCGCCCCTCGAGGTCTGGCGCCTGGAGCGCTCGCTCTATTCGCCTTATGGTAGGGCCGGCCCTGGCTCCAACGCGTCTAAAACCGTCCCATGAACGGTTTCGATTATTCCAGAAAAAAAGCCAACAGAAAGCATTCATTTTGGGATACTAGAACATTTTGTGGTTTTTGTTGTAATTTTGGACCAAAAATACACCTAGGCGCGTACAGATACAGCGAACGAATTCGTTCGAATAAATTCGCAAAAATTTGTTCGGCTACGATAAAATATTCTAGTCTAAGGGCGGGTATTATAAAACTGCTTTGACAGTTAACTTGAAGTTAACTTTTTGAATTACATGTAATTCCAGAAGTTAACTTTAAGTTAACTCTCAAAGTAGTTTTATAATACCCACCCAAGAGCCTGCTCATTTTTTTCGACCTTGAAGCGAACCACATTTCGGATGTCACGTAAACGATTCGTCGTGAAAAGACTTACCCGAAATGATAACGGTGCCTCTTCAGATTTTGCCGAAAGCATGTTTTTTCAATTAAAAAATGGACCGTTTTTTTATAACATATACCTTTTTCATCACCGACGCACGAAATCAACGCCAAAAAGTTCCTTTTTAATGCGTATCCTTAAAAAAAACCTACGGTGCCACGACCTACACTGCCGCAACCCCTGGCACCGCAGCGATAAATGGGGTATTTTAATGCAATTTACTACCTTTTTGGTCACCGTATATTTTTGCACCCCACCTGCAGCCTTTTCCTTTATGGGTTAATGATAGGTGTAAACACCTACAATAGTTGTGTAGTTTTAGCTAAATTTTTAGAATCCATCGTCATAAACCATAATGTATGCTCAGAAATTTGAAATTTTGCGTACTTTCAACTTTTTCCAAATGAAATGCCCTATATTTGATACTATATTCTTGGAGAGCAAGTGACATTTCCGACGGTGCTGCCATGGCGGTGTAGTCATTGAACTAATATTTGGCGGGCCGTTCGAATCTCGGTTTTAAATGACTGGTTTGACATTTCAATTATTTTAAAATAAGGCCAGTGCTTCAAAACTTCTTAAACTAAAATTTTATACATTTTATTTTCATATATTTATGTGAGAATCACTCAAAGAATAAAATAGTTTATAATCTATTCATAGATGATCTGGCGTATCTGACTCATGAGCTGATAGCCGGAGAGCCAGCGCCAAAAAAGTTCTCTGAATTTACTAAAGCCAGTTTTTGGTCAGTTGATTACAGTATTTACGTACATAAACATATCTCGGTCAGTCAAACGAAACTTGGGACAAGGACCTAGGGTGTCTGGTTAAAGTTGTCGAGATAGCTTAGGTAATGAAACGAATTTACTAAGGCTGAAAATGGCTATACATATTATATATAACACATAAATAACAGTGATGTTTGTCAGTCAGTTGAATAGCGGAACTGGGCCGATCATTCAGCCCCATTGAGGTAGTTCAGCCCCAATTTATGTAAAAAAAAAATAGGTCTATTTTTTTTTTAGAGTGACAGCGTGACAGTGACAATTCAAAATTGTAGGTTGAAGTATAAATTAATAGGTTTGTTCAGTAATATTAATATTTTTTGCAGATTTTAACATTTATTGGGGCTGACTGACCAGCACGGTCCCGCTATTCCACTGACTGACTAACACTACTGTTATTTATATGTTATATATAATAATGTCTGCCCAGCGAGTCTGTGTCTACGGGGCAACGGTAAGGGGAATGCAGTTGTAAAAAAAAATGGCTGATTTCATTCATAAAATACCCAGCTGCGTGCGGAACTTTTTGGAAGTGTTATCGTATTGCAACTCTTACACGAAAATCAGCAATGACCAAATCTCCGCCACTGGATATTTCAATATAAATCGATATTCCAAGATGGGAGGATAAAATGACGTGAGCCCTGGCCAATAGCGAGACGTAAGGTGACGTTAGCTCATTGACAACTGTATGGTTCCCCATGACAACGGCGATCCTGCCAAAAACTCCACCAATCAGGTTCATCCAGGACGGATGCTTGCCAAATTGTCAAAAGCTGATGGTATCTTTAGAAAATGTTTATCTTTTACAATAGACCAAATTAAAGAAATCAGGATTAAAATAAGGATAGATCTAACAACCACGTTAAAATATTTAGCATTTTATTATTGTTATCAATATTTTGTTATTACAAAATGGATTTTCAAATTAACTATACTTCATGCCTAGTATTTTCGCTTTGTTATAATTAAACGTGGCAACATGGCACATTTACGTCCGAATTCCTTCCGTAGACTCAGATCCGCTGGGCAAACAATATGTATAACGATTTTCAGCTTTAGTAAATTCGTTGCATTACCCAAGTTATCTCGACACCTTCAACAAGACACCCTGGGTCCTTGTCCCAAGTTTCGCTCGACTGACCGCGGTATGTTTATGTATGTAAATACTGTAATCAACTGTCCAAAAATTAGCTTTAGTAAATTCAGAGAATTTTTTCGGCGCTGGCTCTTAGACTATGACTGGAGCACTTTCCAATCTGCTTTTTGAAAATGTCGATTTTTTTTCCGTTAAAAGGCTGTCATATTTGATCATGTTATTTATAATTCCCTCTAGCATGTATATTAGGGTTGCCAGACC